AGACCTCCCTGCTACACCAGAGATATGGAAAGGGTAAGAGAGAGAGGCAATCCTAACTCAAGCAATTCTCTCATGGTCTGATCTTTCAGACTGGAACTGAAAATGTTCTGTTTGTTTGAGATKCTGATTTCTGAGCCTGTTCACAGGGTCAGGTGTGCAATTTCACATGTTAATCCCATAAGGGGAAAAAGATTGTTTTAAAACCTGTGACTTCATATATTAATATGGATAATAATAGTGGGTTTAACAAATATATATTTATATTTTAACATATCTGCAAATATTTTTAAGATGAGTATGTGCTGTATTTTGCTTTGTAAAAAAGAAAGTTAGCCTGAAATGATTAATGATGGAAAGCCACCATCATCTTGATTTACCTTCATGGTGGAAGACACATCAAATGTAAGATTTCAGAAAATCTGAGGGATATTGTTGGTATTCAATATCCTAACTGAAAATGGCAGATACTGAGGATTCAGTACAAATTTTCTAGATTCAAATTCTTAGGTAGCCAGTTACGTTACAGAATTGCTAATTTAAAGTAGTTTTAAATAGCCTACCCAATATTCATTCCTCTTTCCACTACCTGGTTTCTTTTGGCACTGGGAAAGTAGCCATTTGCACTAATATTTAATGCAAAAGCAAGACACAAATCCCACTAAAATTCAACTGCATTTCCTTTGGCAATACCAGCCTGGCCCTCAAATGATCAGAAAGCTTTCTGTCCCACGGTTTCCATTTCCTTTATTCAAAAACTAAATTAAAAAAGCAATAAATTTCTTCTTAGTTTTTTARAAGTAATGATTTTCAAAAAGTAAAAAAATTCAGAGTTTAGTTTCCTTTTAACTGATCCTACTTTTGCCATATTTTKCAATCTCTAGGCTTCTGAAAGAGTCAAAGAAAAAGGATAATGTTTCAAGTGTCATCCCTAATTATGAAATGAACCCACAAGGAAAACAGATGACATCATGCTTTTATCTCTGTGTATATAACTGATGTAATAGAAAGACCCATCCCTTGTAAACATCTCCCTGTGCCAGTTTGCCAGGATCCAGGGTGGGTGTACAGTGTTCTATGCGTGCATGCACACACTCTCCATTATTTTCACTAGTTCTTGCTTAGTTATTGTACTTAGTTTTTTAACAGTTGTTAAAGCCCTCAGAGTAATCCCAGAGGAGCCTTTGGGTGCTGCCAAAAACATAGATAAATATCAGCCCTGTAGTTGTCCAGAGTCCAGTCCTGTGGACTCAGTGCTGAGCTGACAGGGAGAAGTGCTCAGTGCATCTCCCAGCTCAGCTGCTGAGTGTCCGGGATCTCTGTGCCTCCAATGCCACATCAAACAGCAGCAATTCAGCCCCTTTTCCTCCACCATCTGTCCCTCTCACCTCGGAGGCTTTGCAGGCCCTCACTGTGCGTTTGTGCTCAGCACAAAGCATCTCCACCTCTGGGTTTAGCCCATGCCTCAGGCTGACTGCTGCCTCAGTGGCACACAGGAAAGTTTCCCCTTACCCCCGACCATTCCAAGGGGAAAAAGATGAGCCTGTTATGAACCCAGCTTAGTTCCTGAAGGAYTGAGTTTGCTAACACTCAAGCCTTGTCTCCTTCCTGAGTCTGCTGTGTTTAAAAAACACAGTGACTTGCTGCTCACAATTTTACCAATCAGCTGGCTCAAGAACGGGACAAAATCCATGCCTCTGAGGCAGTGTGAAGGCATGCAACACAAACTCTGCTRGYTRAMACAMACAGTATAAATATAGTTATTTTCCTCTCTTTAGGGAATGTATCGTTCTCAATCCAGTTTTAGGATTACASTCTAATCTGAGTCTCTGAGCAGTCTGTGCCCACGTACCTAGGATTAGAATTTAGCCCCACGGTCTCTCCAATGGCACCTTACCCCAATTAAGAAGACATATTTCATGCTCCTGTATGACATGATGTTAGCATAATAGCTTTTTTCCTTTCCAAAATTTATTTATTTTTCTGACTGTGTAATTATTCTGGAATAATTACAATCTCTAATTTTATGACTCGTGTAGATTTAATGCAAAACCCTTGATCCTACAATTAATAACATTAAGAATGGAATGTTTATCAATTTTTTAAAACAGCACCTGATTTCTCAAGCCATCAGGAGAGCTTTTTCTGAAAAGGAAGCCAATGGAAATGCAAATGAGATCATGTATGACTTCATTCATGTTTCACTCATAAGCATGAACACATGTTCATGTTATATGTTTGACTGATTTATCTGACACAAATTTACCTCAGCATTTTAAACAATACTCAGCTTCTTCCAAACACTCTGTGGAGCCACTGCTTAAGTACACTATACATTGACTTTAAAGAATGCTAATTCCATGTTTTTGATATAAATAAAAGTATTAGTTAATGCAATCTCAATGCATTTATCTAAAAACCAAGTCTGCCTACAAGTCTATACAACATAGTATATATAATATATATAATACATAAGATGAAACTGTTTTGCCAATGTAATTGATAACATCAACATATAGATGGCTATAGATCTTTTGAAACTGTGGCATGATTAGATTTGCAAATGCTTCTGGTTCATGAAGTTCGTGTCTTGCCACTTCTCATCTAATAAATTGAGACAGAATTAGTCCTGGGTGAGTGGTTCTGCCTGCTGCCAAGAAGGGTTTGCTAAGGGTAAGACTCTAAAGGTAGAGATTAACTTGTCTTCATCCCTGTAATGTGCTGTACAGCCAGGATTTGTGCAATAGGATCAGAGCAGAGCCATATATGAATCTAACGCTGGACAGCTGGTGTGTATGAATTTATATGAACCCTGACGCCAGATTTTGAGCTACTCTCAAATCCCAGCTAAGAAATGTATCAGAAGTGTACTTTCCCTGCTCCCTCTCAGATCCTCCTTTGCTGCTGTGGTTTCTAATATGCGAGTTGTTATGAAAATAGCATRAATCTGAACTAGCCTAAATCTGACCTGCAAGTCAGAACCCCAGCTAAGTAAACAAAAAAAGRTGCTTTTCCAAATGGACTAACAGAGATTAGTCAAATTCAGTATCTCCTCCTGACACAGAGTTACACACAAATCTTTATGTTAAGTAATTAAGATATTTCTTCTACCTGGTAATTTCAATACTTCTCAGAACAGGAAATTCGGGGAAATAAATACGTCATTTAATACAGACACCACCCACATACAAAAGGTGTCCTTTAAATTAAATTTGAACCATATTGATATTCTGCTATTCAACTTGACGAAATAGATTACAATTCTGGTGTAAATAACATCTCAAATTTATATCAAAAATAGCAGTTATTTTTATGCATCTGAGAAGAAATCCAGGATAAGTTAGATAGGATTGATTGGCACAGCAATGAAAAAATCAGAATGATTTCATGAAGCATCTCCAGTGAAAGAGAAATTTCTTCTTCTCATTAAGGAATCAAACCCACTTTTTGGCTCATGATGATTCAAAAACTGGGTCAGTGGAAGCAGTAGGCTACAGCCTTAGTGGAAGAAGATCTGCACAGACTACACAGAGAACATCACAATGATACTGGTGTTGCTGGTTTCTAACTGCACTTACTGCTGCTTGGTTTTGGACAGATATCTGTCAGAACAGGCAGGCTATATGGCATCCCACATGAGGGATTTGGGAAGAACAGATGGCTCTTTTCCCACTAGGTTTTCCATGATTCTACACTTTAGAGTTGCATCAAATCATTTTAGTCACCAGTGTGATTTTAGGGGGAAGTGCAGAAATTCTAGGAAGGCCTGATGAAAAAAGTATCTTTCACTTGTGTGCCTTTTTCCCACGTGGGGATGTTTCCTGCCCAAAAAAGCACATTCACAACTATGATTTAAACAGGAGACTGACACATTCTAGCAGTTCCTAAAAAACAAAACTGGTACAACTCATCAGTCATCTGACAGGTAAAAATTTGTCATGTCAAAACTAGATATTAATTTTATTTTTTCCCCTGATTTACTAGAACAAACAGGTTAGAAGCTCCTGGGTCTTTTTTTCCATTATGTCTATCTGAACCTCTGATGGTTTGTTTGCAACTTCATATGACAGAATCACAGTTTGGAAGAGTTTGGGATGGAAGGGGCCTTTAAGTCCATCTAGTCTAATGTCCCTGCAATAAACACTGACATCTTCAGGTAGACCAGATTTCTCTGGGCAGGTACACCAAAGGCCAAAGGCCAGGCTTTAAGGAGGGMAGCATGAAGTTTAAAATTGCAGTTTATTTTGCAGAATATTCAATACAGAGTCATTTATCCAGGAAACTAAAACATCTAAATGGYTCACTGAACAATATGGTATGGCCAATACCATTATCCCAGTTACGACCTATTTTTTGAGCTGCTGAAAAGTTTAGTCCAGCACTAAATCGCTTTAGTACTGAGCTTTAAAATGCTTTAGCAGCTCAGAAGCACTTTGGCAGCTCAAATGCTCTTCATGAGGCACCCAGCATCCTAAATCGCTTTAAGTCTAAAGTATCCAAAAAAAAAAAGGCAAATGGAAACACGTCCAGCAGCAAATGGAAACATGTTCAGATATATTTGTCAAGAACAAAGGCCATGGTGGTGGTCTAGGATTTGACAGACTTGTCTGCTATCAGGAAGACTTGAATCTTGGCCAACCCAGAATTCAGCATTTTTATTTACAATTGTAAAGAACTTGTTATTTTGAGGGAACATAAGTGGTACAGCCAGGCATAGCCTCTACTTTCAGTATATACAGCATAGTAAAATCCAAGAACACTGAACAACTCAGTGTACACAAGGGCAACAATTACATTTTCCTAAAACCTGAAAGTTTCTGTATGGAAAACACTACAACCCATGAGCACTGAAGGGCACAGCTGTGACACACAGGACCACCTGCTGATCTGAGAAACAACCTGCATAAACTGCTCTGTTTCTCCTTGTTGAATGTGTTATTCTTCTCTTTGGTGCTGCTGGTTCAGTTCTTTGCATCAGCAAAGTTGTTACTGTGTCCTGCAGGATGACTCCCCGGGAGCACATGAGGAARATGTCCATCCTGGGGGAACAGGGACCACTGGAGGAAAAGCACCTGTACCGAYTGGCAGGAGGCATGGCAGCAGGAGGTGAGCAGCAAGGAACCCAACCACACATTTGGGTATAAGATTGCTGRTATCTATACAACTTACAAGAAACAGCCAGCAGCAGGTCTGATGTTTTTAAAAGGTATTTTAAATTTATCTTAGGAGTAGCTGTGGAAACCTTTTTCTTAAAGTAATTAGAAGTTAACACAGAGGATTCTTGCGATGTGATTAAGAGATGCTGAGCATCTGGAAGACAAGTCAAGGTCACACAAAAACTCWGAACAAAAGCCACAGCTGCACATTAGGATGTTCTGGCTCAACACTGTAGGCTCTTTTTCTAGAACTGCTTTCTCATGWCAATGCAGGTTCCACCTAGTATGATTTTTCTAAAAATTAAACTGTATTAGAAATGAAAACTCTCTCAAGCAGAGAACTTAATATCCATGGCTACGTTTTTCTGTTTTGTAGTGTTATGTGAATTATTATTCATTGCAATTTGTCCTWTGGTACTCTTGACTGAGCACATCCTGTTTATTTTTACTCCAGTTCGAATGCATTAATCTGCATTATTTAAACGAAGTAGCTAAGGTGTTCAGAGAAAACATGTTTTTTAGTTGYTGCTATTGAAGAAACAGTGATTTGCTAACTCATACTAAAATGCTGGCACTTGAGGAAAAAAGAACAAAAAACAACCCAAATATTTTTTTCTGGTTAAGTTATACTGCAGCCTGAATAACTTCCTAAGTTACCCCACTGATACCAGAGCTGTGTGTGCTTTGTGGCAGAACTGCGGCAGCGGCAGGAGATGCTAATGAGGAATCAGCTGATGGCAGTGAACCCGCAGCTGATGGGGCCGGGCCAGCAGAGGATGCAAGCGATCCCCTCCCAGTTTGAGCCGCGACTGGTTGACAGGTACTGAGCACCATTTCTCTATTACGGTACAGTTAATAACAATTCCTTGTGTGCTGTCCCTTTGATCATTCTTAACAATGTCCTCTGCAAATCTGAACGGGGTTTTTTTCTTCCTYTCAGAGACCTGTTACCTTCAACTGAAATGATGGCCTCAGCTGACCCCAGACAAATCCACATAGCATCCCACCTGGGACCCACAGTSCCACAGCACCCGAACATGCCAAACCTGCTGTCCAACCGTGTCTACCCAGGCCCAGGTAACAAAGCACCCTCTGCATCCTGAAAAGTGGGAGCATGTGGATCAGAAAGCCAACTACATGTGCTAGTTTTTCATAGGCTTAGTGGTGGTGTCAATAACTGTTTTTTCTATTTAGAAAAACTCACTAAAAGGAGGCAGCCTGCCCACCAGAGATTCTGAACTGTGCCAGTTTGGGTCTAAACATACTCATCCTAGCTTYTGTTAAATACACTGTTTTCCGAGTCATTATAGCTAAAAAATCAGCCCAATCAACAACACTTCAACACCACATTTTACTCTTGCTCTTATATTAGTATTGGCTTCTTTATACTGATCATGTCTCTAATGATAATTTCACATGCCACTTAATTCATGAAGGGTAAATACAAGTCCTCTTTAATAAAGGCTCAAAATTAAAGGGGACAGTTCCAAAGAGAGGGCTGGACATCACAATTATGGCACTCATGCTGCACAAAAATTTACATATTACTTTACATAAAGTGAGCTTAAGATTCTYTCTTTCAGATGAGTGAATGAATTATCAATGCTACATCAATCTACAAAGCAAAATTTCTGACTTCAGCTCTTCTTCCCCCCCTTTTAACATTTATCTCAAATAAGAGACTCCCTTGAGAGGAAACGTAATTTAAAACTATTATTTTCTGAGCAGTTATATGCACTTCAAAGACATAAGTATAAGTCACCAAATAAAACCACCCTGCTCCCTCTTCCCTTTAAGATTAATGGCAGGTATTCCCAATTGCAGATCTGATCCTGAAAACACCTGATGCTGGACTTCATGTTCCTTCTACATATTCCCACTAAAGCAATGACTACAAATAAGATTTAACTTGAAATCCTATCAGCTTCCTGCTGAAGCCCACAGTYRAAGACTTACAAAGCTTTTTAAAGTGTTTCTGCATTCCTTGTGGGTTTGTGCCTTYGCTTGAGGAAACAAGTGAATTTTAAAGATGTTTTTTCTATTCCCTTTAAGGATACAGCTTTCTACARCCAGAATCCATGGAAGCTGTGGCCAGAAGACAAGAACTGGTTCAAAAACAGAATATTGCCAGGTAATCGATAGCCATCTTTGCTCTGAGGTGCATACCAGGATTAGGGAAGCAAAGCAATTGAGATTTTTTTTTTTTCAAGTCACCCAGAGAAGCGAAGGGCCCTTGAGTATCAATTAAAGCCTGAAGCTGCTGACTTTCTGCTTGCCCTATACTGCTTTTATTCTTAAAATTATATAAGAAAAATAAACCCCTTAGCTTGSTTAAGCAAAAAAACAAGCTACAGCCACAGCCATTGAACTGTGGATCCAAACACCCTGAAGTTACAAAAGTTCAGAAACAAATTCAAACTTTACAGTTGTGTGATATCACACAATATAAGACTCTACAGCTGGRCCCTTGGGATGATCAGCTATGTCTCCACCCTACCAGGGTGGGCAGCTTTCCTAGTTGGACCAAATAGTTGGAATATCAGAGCAACTACAAAAAGTCCTGTTATTTGTACCAGTTTCACTGTAGTCAGCTCMGTCTGCTGGTCCTGACAGGAGCAGACTATCTCAGCTGGAGGAGTAGGCAGGAATGTCMTGCTTTCTGCTCTTTATCTCCACCCAAAGAGATGGGTGGGAGTAATGACAATTGAGCACAATGTACGAAGACATGGTACACAGACAAAATAGTTAGTATTTCTTAAAACAAAAAATCAGTAATTTGGAGGTTGTTTCAAAGATGAARAGAAGGCAGAGGAAAAGCCCTGAATGGTGTGGTCAAATGAGGTACATAAGAGATCTCCTCAGAACAAAAAATCTATATTGATAGCTTTTGCCCAAACTGTTTTCCTGGCAATTTTACTCTCTCCTTGAAAGTCAGACTCTCTGAACTGTTATCCCCATTGCTGTGTTAAGAAAGTGATCTTGGTGCACTTTAAAGTGTTTTACTTCACAGGCTTTTTTCCAAATATGCAGAAATCCCACTGAAAGCTCTGCAAAGCTCCTCTAGGAGCTCTAGATTTCTGTTTGATCACAGAGAAAAAGTGATCACAGCTCCAGAGAAAGCTGATGCCAGCAAAGGTTGGTAYAGCAGAGGCAAAAACACTACTAATTGTATTCTCTGTATCCCACTGGTATCCCCCTCTGCCAGGGGCAGGAAGGTGGCATAGACTCTGGAGCACTGGCTTTATCCAGAAGGAAGGAGATCAGTTGAACACTTCCCAGCAGGATCTCACCCTCTCATACTCTCAGAGCCATGCTCAGTTGCCAGGCACAATGGAGGGTTACTCAAGAGACTTAGCTTTAGCTTACTCTGAATGGATGCACAGGTTCCATAGATAAAATCCTTCTAAAAGTGATAAAGTGATAAAATCCTTTATCACTTACAATATCACTGGAATTTAGCAGTTTTCAGTGCAAATTTCTGACTAATAATATAAATCAATTATTTTCTTTAGTCCTCAGCCCTTATGACTCTGGAGACTATTTTCCAAATGTGAATATAATCACCATGTTTGCATTGCCATACACAATCTAGAGACATTAAATGGAAGATATATTWTCCCCTTCCTTTTGCTTACTCTAGGTACCTGACAGCACATTAAATACAGCAGGTTTGTCATTCTATCTGCACTTTGTGCCCTCTCACACACAGCAATGTAGGGGAGAGACGAAAGAAGCAGTACTCTCACCTATTTCTTTATCTGAGTTTTAATTTGCTGCAGAGAAAAAAAWAAAGGTGATGAAGGAACTGAGCTGGCCTAACCACTCTTGCTCTGTGTGTCTCTTAGRATGGAAATGGAGATGAGTGCCATTTTTCAGCAAAAGGAAATGGAGAAGGCCCATCGGAAAGGACTCCTGGGCCTGGAAKCCCCTTTCCTTTACCATGGGATACCAGCGAGTCCGATTGCTTTCCGTGGCAGGCACAGACTGCCTGAAGGGCACCTTTCCAACGATGTGTATGTTCATCGTACCACCCTGGATGAAATCCATGGCAACACCATGCTCATGGCAACCAGCCCGTACCCTCCAGTCACCACACTGCAGAGGGAGAGAGGGCGCCGGCCAGGGAGAAGGGCAGGAAATCACAAAACTGCYGAGGGCAGTGCCAATGGCACAAAGACCCAGGCAGATGACAAATCCACGGACTCTGCCTCAGCTGCAGTGGATGATGAGAAAGAAGACAAGAAAGAAGTAGAGATGGAGACACCAAACAAACACGAGCAGAGCAAAAATCAGACAGAGCCGTCTGCAGTTGCCAAAAACTGCAAAGAGTTTGAACAAGGCTTGAGAAAAAATTGTGCTACTCATGAAATTCCTACAGAAACCACCACCTGCAGCAACACAAACGAGAAGGAAGCCAATAGCTCCTGTGCTGCTTTTGATGACAAGTACCTGTACCCTTCTGCAATCCCATTCTCAGCRTTACCATATGGATTTCCAGTACCCAACAACCCATTGCTACCTTCAGGTKTGTCAGATCTCCAGATTACAGTTAGAGTGGCACATTGATATAATCTRTTTTTATTGATTTGGTCTCTTAATTCTTTCCTCTGTTTTAAGTTAATTTTTGGTGTGGTAGAGTCAATGCAACTAAAAGTAGAATTCTAATGCAGCAAAAAGTAATAACTATTATTAGATTTAATATGTATTAGATTCCTGTTTTAAAAAGGAATTTCAGTTAAAATAAACAAAATTGCTGAATGAAGTTGTGAGTTAGCCTCTCCCTTCAGCCTGCAAATTTTCTATATGTCCTAATCTTACAGAAGGCACTATGACCTAGCAAAGACATGGATCTGTTCTACTGAAATATTAAGTAAATCAAAGTAACAGTAAAGTTTAAAGAAGAAAAAGCATTAGACAATGTACTCATTAGAGGAAATCCTGCAGCATGATTTGTATATGAAGTGACTGGTAGGTACCGTGCCAGCAGTAAACAAAAGAAGCCACAAAAAAAGCCCCTTCAGAACCAGGTTTTGCTCATTACCTGGTGATTTTGTGTCTAGGACTCCTCTACCTGGTGATTTTGTGTCTAGGACTCCTCTATCTGCCTGTGACTACAGCCTGTTGTTAATACATTAGATGTTGAAAAGGCGTAAAGATTCCCATGATAACAATCATTTTGTCCTGATTGCCTGGCAAAGTTCTACCAACATAACTTCTGTGTTTCCTCCTCAAAGGAGCACATGGTCTGATCCTGAATGGAGAAGATATTTCTTCCRTCGAAGACATTCGCAAGTGGACAGTTGATGACGTGCACAACTTCATTGTCAGCCTCCCAGGCTGCTCAGATTATGCCCAGGTGATTATAAACATTCAACATTTTGGACCATCTAGATTTAAATGGCAGCAAACAAGTGTAAATGTGGGAGGGTGGTTGATTGTCCCAAAGTTACAAATAAGATAGTAGTTTACATTGTGCAGTTAGGAGATAAATACAAATATAAAACAGCAAGATTATATCTTCTTTTTATTGTCTGTGCCTCAGGGTTAGGCATGAAGAATAACCATTGAAGTCTATTTAGCACACTATGATTGTTTTATCATTTCACCAGATTTTTAAAGACCACGCTATTGATGGAGAAACCCTTCCACTGCTAACAGAGGAACATCTCCTGGATACAATGGGATTAAAACTCGGACCAGCATTAAAAATCCGCTCTCAGGTATGATCATCRAATGCATACCAAGACAGTGAGTCACAGAGACATGAAACTGCCAGAAGCTGACAGGAGGAAATTTTTCCAAACTAAAACACTTTTTTCTCACTGGTAAAGTAACTGCCATAATATTGGGAGAAAAGAAAGTACTCCAGCAATGTTTGCTTTTGCTTCTCTGTATGTTACCACAGCATACAAGGAGACACTAAGGAATGTGACTGCACATTTTTCCAGGACAAGTTGTCCCTCTCTCATGCAGTTTTCTGCCATTAATTTCATCCATTATTATCAACTCTGTGTGTGTKTTTCTGTTGTTGCCTGGTTCTCTTCATTTTCTCTAACGCCTTGTACTCTCRCTCTTCTCTCATTCACATCACTTTYCCTGTTCCTGGCTGGCAGTTTTGCCTCCCCTCTGTCCCATGGGTGTTGCAGTACTTTGGGAACAGAAGGCTCCCAAGCCAAGTATTGACAAGCTMCTTCCACAACCTGGGTCTAGAAAAATATGAGAGTGAAAATGGAAGAGATTTCTTTCACAAGAATCTGATAACCCTTTGAGATGCCCAAGATGTCTCTGGCATTGCTGCACGAGAGTCAGGCTTGATATTTAATGTCTTTAAGAAGTAAAGCACGAAGTAATTGGTGCAATTGTACTTTTGCCTTTAAAGGTGTCCCGACGTCTGGGCAATGTGTTCTACATGATGAACGTCCCTCTGTCTGTGCCTCTGCCTCCTGCTCCAGGGAAACCCTCAGAGCAGCCCTCTGACATGGCCTCTCCTCTGCACTGCAACAGCAGTGGTGACACACTGGACAGTCCCTGTTCCCAGGACCCAGAAACTTCCCAAGCAGTGGAACAAATTGTTTCAGAAAGCAGGGAAAACCCATGTGATGCAGCTGGATCCCAGGCTGACTTCCAGATGATTGCTTTCCAGAAAAGTTGAGCTAAGTCCAGGACATAAGATGTTTTTAATAATACACGAACCTCTAGTTACAAAGTGTTTGAGAAGTTATAGCCTGAAACCTCTGTAAGGCTGGAGCTGAAGGAAATAAGCAACCAGGGCAGCATGAGGAAGTGTTGTATCTGAAAGGCATTAAAAAATGCGGCTACATGTAGTGCAATTACTTTCAAGTGCAATTCATTGAAAAAAATACCACTAGAGTTAAAAGGTAAATTTAATTTTTCATTAAGTCCAGAGTCATCACTGACAGTGATGTTCCTGTGGAACAATGTGTTCCACTGGGCTGTTGAGAAACAACATGGAAAAGTCACAGCTTCCAAACAAAGTGGGCTTCTGCTTCTGTTGAACAGAATTTATGCAGAACATTCGCATGGACTTCATTGGGAGAGGATGGAATTACCTGCAGAATATAGAGAACTGTACCCCAGACTCAGCAATTTGAGTGMATCTATTCCTGTTTAGAACTAAGCATTTCTAAGTGCCTGGCAAGGATATACAGCTCATAAAGATGTACATGAGAATACCACGTGTGACAGCAATTTTAATTATTCCAAGGCATTCTTATCACCAGGGATGGAATTTGCTTTTCATGACTGGAAGGTGAGATGAGTCATCAGATTCTGCCATGAAGGCCAGCCACTGGGACAGTGACATTCCCTGCAGGGTGCAGGCTCAAAGGCACCTGGCTCCTGCCAGAACATCCTGCCCCTTGGCTCATCTGGGCAGGCCATGGAAAGCCTTTCCCTCAGCAGCATGTTCAGTCTTCTTCACTTTGGAAGAGGCCACCAGTTTAGCCTGAGAGCTCTCTTKTCTGTGGAAAAATATGGTTTCCCCTCACTTCTGCTACTGATGAATCATCATCTCACAGCAAAGAAGAACAAGAAATAGAGCTTTTAGCTGAGGATAAATCCCCAGCATTTATTGTGATGCTTGTGTGACTTACCATTGTTTCCTTTTTATGGATTTGGCCATACACTGGTTTTCCATGTAGACTTTGGAAGTCAATACACTTCCACTCTCCTTGCAAGAACACTTCTTTACTCCACAGGACACACAAATATTTTTGACAGCTTCAGGATGTGTAAATTGAGGGTTGATAGATTGTGAACCTGCTGTATGTTGCTACTTCAGATTCTCTCTCTTTAGTTAAGTTTGTGTGGCCTAAAGTACTTAAAACCCAAGAAGTATGAAGCTGTTTAGATGGTAAGTGGCTAAACACACAAGGAGGGGAATTATTTCCATATTCTATGATTTATTAGCCAGAGGTAAATTGTTTTATGTCTTTGTTATATTTGTGCACTAGATTATGTGTGATTAGATGTTTACAACACCAACTTCAGATGTCCATGTTACCATACTGTCCAAACTTCACAGCCTTTGGAAGAATGACAAATACCTTTATTAGTTTTAGTGTGTGAAACAATTTCTAACTTTTTTTTTTTTTGTACAACTGACATTCGTGTTGGCCGTGTCACTTATGTAATTAAACGCAAGTTAACGACTTGGTTTTCTAATGGCATCTTATCTCCTCTCCGTGTGAAATATTGGACTCAACCCACGTGAGATCTTCTCCATCCTGGGAGAGGAATTTCTGGCGCTCTTCCAGGAGCATCAGGCCACGAGATGTCGCTGCAAAGCCGTGCGAGGTCACCTGCTGCCCTTCCGAAGGGAAGTGCAGCTCCCCTGAAGTACCGAGCACGCGTTAAAGGCGACGATATGAAGAAACTGAACTTGTTTTGYAAAGTAACAGCAGAAAAGCTTGACTTGAAGTCCCATATGCCAGAGAGGAAGGATTGAAAAGTGGTTTTGAAGTGTGTGACTAATATTGTAAACAGCTCAGACATGCAAAATGCCAAAAGCTGAGAAAGCTGGGATGCACCTTTTATTACTTTTGCAATTAAAAAAATCCCCACCAAACATACAATCCTTTGCACATACTGCGCTCTTCTTCCCAAAATGACAAAAGGAATTACTTCATAAATCCTGTACTGGGGGAGATGTGCTGGAGCAGCCAAAACACAGTAAGGCCTGGACTGTAAACAGCTGTGGAGTGAAATAGGAAGGAAAGGGATTTACCTAAACAAACATAATAGATTCTACTTCTAATGAAGGAAATACCACTGGTAATAAATCTTTCCTCTCCTACAAATGCTCCAGAGAAAATGAAAATAAAAGGTAAAAATATTTTTAAAAATACACAGAATCTGTAGACGGACCAGTATWTCCAGGCTTCAATGTATTTTCAGGAATTGTGTGTATATGTAAACATTGAGGCCTTACTGATTCTCATGCTCTTTTTTGACATTTATTGTTTRTTCTAGCTGCAAAGGGGTTCAGGTACCAATCACAAATACCTAAGAAAGCCAGCAGAACTCYGCTTCCACCAGGTTTTCTGGTGACTGGGCCACCACTGTATTCATATTTTTTTCTGCTCTGCAACTAAAATCACAGTGGGATGCAGATGATGTGTTTTAATATGAGTTGCATCATTGGAAAAGCTTCACTTGATATCTATTGCTGTRTTAGTCCCTATCAGTGATGCAGTTATGAACAAGATAATGTTTTCTGTGAGGTGTTGTAGAAGTTGCTGATTTTGTGTGTATCCACTGAATGTGTGGGCTCCTAGGGACAGACACTTCCCCCCCTTTTTTTTTTTTTTTATAGGGCCAAAGTTAAAGACAAGTTTAATAAAACAGTATGACAAACATAAAGTGAAATGATCCTGTACCATAAATAACAGATTTAGGAAAATTCTGGAGAGGAAGAAATGGCTTCACCTTCCTACAGCAACCTAGGTTTCTGATCTCATATAGGCTGCAGATGATGACAGTGTGGAAGGCATACTCACATGGACCAAAACAGATAATTTCCTGATCAATTCCCTGGGTGAAAAATCTCTAAAAAATGCTACAAACATACAAAAGTCATGCAGAATTCCCACCTGGTCCAAGYCAGGCAGTCACTCTAATCCAGCACACAAACACAAGAATAGGCAAGTAGGTCCACAAGGTAACAGTATTTCAAAGAGACCTATACCCATGTCACCAGACACTTTATAAAATTTTATATTCTTAGACTTTATACAATTGTGAATCTGCCACAAAACAGTTTTCRGAATGTTAAATTACCCTTTGAGCGTGAAACAGAAAATATAACCTACTCTGGTTTTTAAAATCACCTCTAGTTTTTAAACTCTCTAGAAATTTCTCATATGTTCAGCTTTCCAAACACCCTCATACAATGTTGGTTGGTTGTGCAGTGTTTTGAGCCACCTTCAACATTAGAAACCTTACAGAAAAGCATCCAAAACTAGATATAGCTCTTGTTTTGGTACCTTGCCATGGTMATGTTCTACCTAAGTCCTTTATTATTCACTGAAAAATAACAAGTCTACTTTATGAGGCTGTGCATTCATAGAATTAYGGAATAGTTTGGGTTAGGAGGGACCTTAAAGATCATCCACTTCCAAACCCCTGTGTTCATCAGGGTTCTGCTGCCTCTGATGGTTGGTTTTGATTAGCTCTTCATGCTATAATAAATAGCTGTAGCTTTATTGCTATGGCAATTTCAGTATAATAATACATACTATATTGAGAGAAAAGCTCACCTCTCCTTCCTTATTTGTTTAGGCTTTGCAGTTTTTTTGCAGTTGCCAGGCTCCTTTCTCTCTTTGGGAAAACTTTGCTCGTCCTATCACCTCTACTGAGGCCRTGAGAATTACTTTGTTGACTTAATCCTTATGCAGTCCTTTCCTTTGTCCCATTGCCAAGTTTACTGAAGTTTGGTTTGTTTTATTTTTTTCCAGACAGATATTAGTACTGCTATTATCCCCATGTTCTTCTCAAACCACCAATTTCCCTGAATCTTTAAATCAGCCCACAGAGAAGAACCTATTGTCTGTTGTATAGAGAATGATGCAGTATTTTTCCCTATAGTACTGCAAAGACACGAATAGACATTGTGATTTATCAAAATTTAAACCACATGTAGCATCTGTGTGTGTGAATTACTGACATAAAAATCAATCAACCAAAATGGCAAACAGAAAAAGCACTGCTGACCATTATAAAAAACATCAAACTAACCTGGTTCTTTGCTGCAGCCTTGGCTCATCAGCCAGTCTTTGATGATCACCTTTCAGGCCCAAGTTTCCAACAGCTCTGCTAAAGGAGCACTGTGAGGCTGGGATTTGTTGGGCTCTAGCAGTCCCTGAACATTCTGCACTGGAAGATGGTCCATAAAGCGCTCGCTGCCTTTCCAGTTCAACCTGTTAAATGGAGGGATGTAAACTGAAGACTTCCATCCTTCTATAAAAAGTATTTTTACCTCAAACATTTGCATTCATAATAACCAATTTATTATTTTAGAAAACAACAAGAAGTAGCTTTTCCTAAGGCTATATCCTTAATATTATAATTCTTATCCTCCCCTCCTGCCACTGGCAAAAACAGAGATATAAGCAAAGCCTTTTTTTATACAGACTTTTTTTCCAAAACCTCAGCTGGTTCTTCCAAAAAATGTATTGATGTATTTTTCATTTATGTGTCCATCTCACTGACTCTAACATGGTCTGATTGACAGAGGTCTTTAGAAAGAGCTGATGTGCCACTCCACATCAGGAGAGACATATCCTTACTAGGGCTCACCAATCATTGCTTAAATGAAAATACATTCTTACAATGAACAAAGCTGGTATTAGAAATAGATGCAATTAATAACAAAAGAACCAGAAAAATTAGTTTTTAGTTCAATTAGGATTTTTGTCAGTTATAYGTACCAAATAATTTTGGGTTATATAGAAATGAAAAGGAACTTGCAAGAATGGAAGTATTTAAGAACTTTCTTAGTGAAAGATAATTAGGGAGATTTGTCTAATAAACTTTTGTTATTCTGCTAAATTAAAAGCTAAGTGGCTAACTAAATATTTATAAGGTTCTGAGATGGAAGTGACTCAGGATATGTCTACACTGGAATATGTTTCT